TTCCTGAAATAATGCACGCAGTGTCTATAGCATATTATATGGCCACATAACCATTTACAAGTATATGATAATTATAGCTAACACTTATAAGCAAAATAGACAAGTTGCAGACCTATGTATGTAAAGCACGTCCATTTCAGGGGGAAAAGGTAGCATGTCTGTGTTAACTATAGAAAAAAGTCAAGAAGGATAGAAAACTTAATACTGGTTTCCTTTGGGAGATGGGAGGAGACACACTTCTTAATAGCCATACTTTTTTAATGGAAGGATTTTAGAATACAGTGTTTTTAAATAAAAAGGAAATGAAGTAAAATCAGAGCAAATGCTTCTAAGATAGAGTTTAACTTAGATTTAAAAATATTAAAATTTTAAAAATTTTACGTTCTATATAGTCTTTGAATTATCAAGGTAAAATGAAATAATAAGCTGAAATTTTTTTGACTATTAAAGTTACCTTTGTTCTAAACGAGTAAACTAAGATGCATGATCAAAAAAATAGTTTTCGAAAAACTTACAAAAGAAAAAATTAAAGAGAATTAAAAGAAAATTATTACATTTTACCCTGTCGATTTACACACAAATGAATTCTTTTCTTAATCTACGATATCTCCATGAAAAATAAACCTATGTCAAAGAAGGAAAAGAAAACAATGTCAACGTAAAATAAAACTGCCTCTAAAATGGGATACCTGGGAATTCCCTGGATGTCCAGTGGTTAGGACTCTGCGCTCTAACTGCCGAGGGCCTGGGTTCAATCCCTGGTCAGGGAACTAAGAGCACACAAGCCACGCAGCGCAGCCAAATAAATAAATGGGATAAAAGCTAGATTAAAGTCAAAAAAGTAAAGTTATCTTTTACTGCCAGTTTAACTCAAAAGAATTCTGCAATTGTTTGGTTTTTTTGTTTTTGTTTTTTTTTAATATCAGCAGGGCTAGGAAATTCAAGCATGCTTAAAGCTAAAGTGTTAAGAAGTGATCTATGTTAAGTTCAGCCAAAGAGAAAAATTAAATCCCCAAGATGAACTTCTAAGAAGACACTGATACAAAACGTTCAAATACACCGAATTCTCTCTCCTTCTGTAAACAGTAGCTGTGGCTGCTCATTTACTACATTAACTGAAAATAAATACTGCAATCTATGCAAACTAAATCTCATCCCACGGTCACAGGATTTGAAAAACAGGGAATAAACCTGTACTAAGAATACAAGATTTCCTAAAGCTAATTTTTCCTAGCCTCCTTCAAGTGCTTAGTCACTTCTGCCTATTTACAAGGAAGACCATTTCACGTCTAGAAACAGGCAGGGAATTTTGATTCCAGACTGTCATGTCACCTGAGCCGTCCTAGACGTTTGTTTCCATGCAACTCAAGAGAAGGCAGCTGCCAGCTAAGCATACCTACCACTCCAGATCAGAACCAGAAGCCACTGGGGCTCTCTCTATTCTGCCTCTGTCTGCAAAAACAAAGAGGTGTTTGTGGAAACGGGAAGTTTTCTTCCCTGACACCAAATGCAAAAGGTGAGGATTAAAATGTAGCCTGAAAACATCCCTGTTTCCTCTAACAGTCCACCAGAAATGCTTCCCTTCTGTTCTACTGAAACAGAAACAGCAACCAGATTCTTACACAACTCCAGATGTGGGTACCAGACATGTCTCCTTAGGCAACTAACAAAACCTAAAACTAGAGGCAAAAAGGCCTTGGAACACACTTCCAAGAAAGCAGCTAGCATTAAAATCTGATAACGTTGTTTCAGGTTCCTCAAAGGCAACAAAAGAGAGTAAGGTCTTCATGAAAGATTATTTTAAGAGACAATCCTAGGCAAAGGCAGGTTTTTAAGCACCTACCATGGGCCCAGCACCAAATCCCGACATTCCACTCACACAAGATTCTAAGCACACACGCTGATTACAGAAATACACCTGAAAGAACTCTCTCGCCCAGATACAGCAGTACCTTGCCAAGGACCAGGCACAGTCTTTCCAAACATAACTCCAGGTAGTAAAACCTGGAACCACGTGGTCAATCTCCGAAGCAGAGCTTAAGCCAATTTCCCAGAAGGTCATGAAGGACTGACAACCACCTGGGACTAATTAGGATGGGGCTCTTTTTCCTTCCTTGGATATAAGTGCTATAAAAGACACGCTTCCTTTACTTCACCATTCTCCTCATTATTTCCAAAAAACGCCTTAATAATACTAACCCGTTTACATAATACATGTTGCCTCCTTTCTAAGTAAAATATAAAGGCTCGAATTAACCTCTTTTCATGAGAATACTCAACTTCAAAAAGGCTAAGAAACCTGCATAGTGCTTGTTAGTGAAGGCTCCAGGTCCTGCAGACGCCCAGGCCCCAGCACTTACCATTAAGCCACAATGCCTCTCAAGGAACGCTACTAAATCCAGCTACTGATCCCAACCAGTTTCACGCCACAAAACTGAGCTCAAAGCGCTCAGTGGCATGGATGGGGGGCGGGGCGTGGGGAGGGCACATCACCACTACCTAAGCAATTTTTTTTTTCTTTAACGAATATAGCACATGTTCCTGATTTCCATCCTCCCCACGGGCAGAACCCACGTGCCGGCCCCACCGCTACCCACAGCAGCTCCCTCTCCACGCTCCCCAGCTTCTGCCTGGTCCCCAGCAGCCCCCTCACGCCCCTCCCTCCACCCCCACCCCAGCCAGGGCTAAAGCCGGCACCTCCCGCCCCCTCCCCAGCGACGGCCGCCCAGGCCCCCGCACCGCCCTCGCGCGCAGCCGGCGCCGGAACCCGCGCGCTCCCGCCTCCGCCCGGCAGGGTCACCCCCGGGGCCTGCGCGCGCCCTTCCCGCCGCCCGAAGGTCTCCCCGCGACGCCGGCGCCGGGCAGGCCGCGCCCGCCGCGCCTGCCATGGTGGGCGACTCACCGTCAGGCTGAGGAGCCGGGCCCGGCTGCGCCATGGCCGGGCGGCCGGCCTCGGGGAGCGGGGATGGGCGGGGAAGCGGCGTCCCGGGCTCCCACAGGCTCAGCTGGCGGAGGAGGCGTCGACCGAGCCGCCGCCGCCGCCGCCCAGGGAGGAACCGCTAAGGCTGGAGCCGCCGGCGCCGCCACAGCCGCGGGCAGAGACGGACCCGAGCGCCGACCTCCGCCTCCTCATCCTGACAGCGGGAAATAAGCAGCGCGCAGGCGCGGGGGGATGGGGCGGCACGTGACGTCCCCCTGAGGGAAGGGGCGGGGCTTCGCGAGGGGTTGGGGAGCGCGGCGCGAGGGGGAGGCTGAAGGAGGAGCGGAGCGGGCTGTGGGAGCGCGGCGGGTAGGGTGGGGTGGAGGAGGGGGAGGCTGAATAGGGAAGGAGGGGGAGAGGGAAGAGAAGGAGAGTGGCGGCGGGGAAGGCCCGGCCTTGTGCAGGGGCCGCTCCGGGCCCTCCGCCCCAGCACAGAGGCAAAGAAAGAATACTAATGAAAAGAAGGGCGAGAGAGTAGGCTAGTAGTGGCTGGCAAATCCAGCCACTGTCTGTTGTAGCTGTGTGACCTTGGGCGAGTCACTTAACCTCTTTGAACCTCACAGCCTTCGTCTGCAATAATGGCTATTAAAAGTTTAAATGAAGTGAAGTGTGAGGAACTGTGTCTGACGTCCTTTCCATTAAGCACCTATATAGGATGTGACTTTTAAGTTCCAGGTACCGTGATAGGTGCTGGGGATACTGCCAGACACAGTTCCTGCACCCGTGAGGGGAGAGGGGAGATAGGCAGACAATACCGCCCTTACACCTGTGCATAGGCACCATACATTAGAGGCGCACCTCTACCCCAGCTCTGTCCAAATTCCTTCCACAGGTTCTAGGGGACATGCCCACATGGTGTCTGTGTCTCTCCTTCAGGACCAAGTTCTGGGAACTTGTGACCCCAGAATTCCCTCCCCAAATGGCTGGGCTCTTCCCAGGTCCATCTTCTCTAAGGCAGAGTCTGTGGATCCCTAGAAGTGGCTAAGGGGCAGCTGTGTTTGGGGCAGGGGGCACATCACTTGGACATTTGAGCTTCTGTGTACACAGATCCCTAGTGCAGGAGAGAGAGATGGAAAAAGATGGCAGGTGGGCCAGGGCCAGGGCTCCCACCAGCACCTCATTCAAGTGCATAAACCTGAGGAGTCCAGGAATTCTAAATTTGAACCTGGTCTTCCATGTCATTAAAGATGCATATTTGTCAAGATAGAATAGAATATATTAAGATTAACAGTTGGAGTGATTTATAATTTTAAATAATTTAGGTAGACGTGTTGCATCTGTTTGTACTTTTGCCCCAAACCCTGCTAACATTAGGGAAGGACCTATATACAAACTTGAGTTTTTTAAGCAGTTAATATATTCGAATGGCTGGTATGCCTTTATAGAGCAAGCAGGGTGGCTTCCCCAATCCCCCATTAAATGACTTTCCTGGATAAGCAGATCCATGCTGAACATGGAGACCTTTGTCCAGGATAGGACAGCCCAGTGCACCCTCTCTCTGGTGATGACCAACACAAGGCAGGAACCATAAAGATAGCAGATGCGGATGCCCTCCACAAAAGGGGCTCCTCCTAGTGAGCAAGAGGCATGTTTATTGCCATTGATAATCTGGGACTTGAAGCCAGGCCCTCAAGATCAAGGTCACTCAGAAAGGATCAGGTTGCTGATCTAAACACATAGAGCTCCCCATGCAAAGGAGGTGGTTGAAAAAGCAAGTTGGAATTCACATAGGAGTACGCAGGGGTTATGTACATTTTCATATTTTTAGGTAAACTCTAAGACCCAGGAATTCCACCCCCTAGGCATATGTTTTAAAGAAAATTAGTGTGTGCTCAAAGCCTTTATTAAGTGTAAAAGATATGATTCTTATATTTTGAAAGAAATTGGGAGATAAGATTTAAACACATGTAATGATTGCTTATCAATTACATTGTACATGTGCCATAGGAGACGCAAGAATATCTAAGGTGGCATAGTTTATAATACAATAAATAAATAACCCAAGTGTTCATCAACAGAATAGATAAATAAATTTTAAAATATTCATACAACGGAATATGCTACAGCAATAATAATGAACAAACTACAGCTACATATTCAATGGAGATGAACCTCACAAACATAACTTTGAGAAAAAGAAGTAAATTATAAAATAATACATACAGCATGATTCCATTTATATAAAGTTCCAAAACAGGCAAAACTAAACCTCATGCACACATACTTGGTAAACTGTAAAGATGGAAAGAGAACCACCATCACAGAAGCCATGACAGTGATTCCTGAACCAGGGAGGGAAGTGCATGGGATAAAGGATAGTACCTAAAAGCCTATCTTCTATGGTGCTGACAATATCATATTTCTTAACCTGGGTCCATTTAAACTAATTGTAAATCTGGGAAGCTGATGTCGTTTAGGTGAGAAAGATTTGGGAATATTTGCCACTTACAAACTTAAAACGAGCAAATTCGATGCAACTGCTGAAAAGCACTCATTCCGGGCTTCATTAATAGAGCCACAGAGACTCTTGGTAGAATTCACTATTGGAAAAAAAGAAAAAAAAAGAGTCACAGTGTGTAAATTACAGGAGGTGATGCCTGTCCTGCACTTTGCCCTGATTAGGTCACATCAGCAGTGCTAGCTGTGTTTGTTCTGGGCACCATTATACGCTGCTGGCTGGTGTGGGCAGAGTCCCAGGGACTGAAGAATCTGAAAATTATTCTCTGACGGAAATATCAGGCAAAAGTACTCTGGGGGTAAAAAAAAAAAAAAAAAATGACTTGGGCTGTGAAGACTGTCCTCAAATCCTGGAGGTCAGTGGGTACTAAAGAAGAACTTTTTCTCAGAGTTGACCAGAGAGAAGGGGCTACCTTTCAGGGAATGAGATCCCTGTCACTGCAAGTGTACAATTAAAGCTGGCTAACAAAAAAAAAAAAAAAAGCTGGCTAACAATTGGTCAGAGGTGGTATAGAAGGATTCCTGCTACATCTGGGGAACTAGACTAGATCATCTTTACAGTCATTTCCAGCCTCACGATTCTATAATACTAATGACAATAATAAGTTTGCTGCATTTTAAAGTTTACTAGGCACTTTCTCATTTATTATTTCATTTTACTCCTCACAAGAACCCAGAAGGTGGACAGTAGGCACAGAGTAGATAAACCAAATTTTCCTGGATAAATTCCATGTCAAAATTCTATCCTGTGGTTTCTAGCTAGTGCAGGCACAGCTATCAGACCAGGTGTCCCAAGTTGGCAATCAGCTGATAGTACACAGGAGTGTTGGGGTTCTCTCTCTAGGACCCAGATCCTCAAGGGCAGAAAGGGACAAAAGAGTAGGGTTATGGCACCATACTTCTCTGACTTTCAATAATAGATAACTTCAGTGCAGGTGGTGGGGGAAGGACAAGATTCAAGGGGCCTCTACCCCAGGGGCCCTGTCTCCCCACAGGCACATGGAGACTTGGAAAGTCCCAACCTGGATGCTGGCTTCCTCACTAAGAGTTCCCCAGGAAGAGTCCACCAGGGACAGGCACCATTATATCCTCAGCCACAATCCCCCAGCCTGGTCCCTCTCTCACTGATTATCCCCTTTTGGTACTAGCTTGTAATACTGCAAGAACAGGATCCTCATTAATAGATAGAGACATACAGGAATAGTCATACTACATCTACAGCATGTCAGTGTCAGGCAGTAGCTTTGAACCCAAAGTGGTGATTAGATGTAAAATGAAATTTTAGCTGACGTAGAAAGCAGACAATGAGGGAATTCCCTGGCAGTCCAAAGGTTAGGACTCCACACTCTCACTGCCGAGGGCCCAGGTTCAATCCCTAGTCGGGGAACTAAGATCCCACAGCCACACAGCATGGAAAAAAAAAAAAAAAAAAAAAAGCCGAGCTCCCCTTCTAGGATCTGGAGTGGGAAGACGGTGATCAGTGATCATCGCTGCAACTGGTCTTTCCCCCAATCCCTCTCCCAACTGAGAAACATATGGGAGAGTGCCACAAACAGAAGGATGACTTCTCTCTCATACTCTCATGAGATGCAGGTTGAGGTCCAGGCATAGAATCAGAAGACCTGTAATTCTGGCACAGATTAGCTGTTGACCCAGAACACTTTTTTTTTTTTTTGATGTGGACCATTTTTAAAGTCTTTTTTGAATTTGTTACAATATTGCTTCTGTTTTATGTTTTGGCCATGAGGCATGTGGGATCTTAGCTCCCCAACTAGGGATCGAACCCACACCCCCTGCACTGGAAGGTGAAGTCTTAACCACTGGACCACCAGGGAACACATTATTTAACCTCTTCGAGCCCTTGTTCACTTATCTCTAAAATGGGGATAGTAGACCAGCCTTATGGCACATCAGCAGGGCTAAAGAGATAAAGCACCTAACCCCTAACATATATATACGGTAGTTGCTCTGTAAATGTCTACTTCCTCTTCTCCTTCTCTCCTTTCCTTCCTTTTTTTCCTAGATCAGTAGTTTCCATCCTGGGGAAGACAGGTCCCTGGAACTTAGAATTCAGTCCATGAAGGTATTCCTAGAGATCTGGGGCAGAAATTTCCAATATTTTCAAAGCCTAACAGAACTGTCCCATTCATACTAGATAATGTCCCAAGACTAAAATGTGAAGTTTCTTTGCTTTGCACAGAAATTATATCACATTGCTTATCTCATGCTGACTAGCAGTTCTTATTCCAGTTCTATATTAACTGGTGATTAATAATGTAGAGGGATTGGGACTTCCCTAGTGGTCCAGTGGTTAAGAATCCACCTTCCGATGCAGGGGACGTGGGTTCGATCCCTGGTCAGGGAACTAAGATCCCACGGGCTGCAGGGCAACTTGAGCCCTCACACTCTGGAGCCTGAGCGCCACAACTAGAGAGAAGCCCGCACGCTGCAACAAAAGATTCTGCATGCCACAACGAAAATCCCGTGTGCCGCAATTAAGACCTGACGCAGCCAAATAAATACCAAAAAAAAAAAATTAATAATACAGAGGGATCCATTATTTAATGTATGTATTTTGCTAGATAGACAAGTACGTTTAGATCTGGTAGTTACTCCCTTCTCTCAGAATTCACCTGTGATAACATTGACCGCACAGTGGCATAATTGCCTGGAAATAAAAATGGCTAACATTTACTAGTGTATACCATGTGCCAGGCACTGGACAAAGTGCTTTACTTTGGATCAACTCGTTTAATCCTCTAAACTGGCATGAACAGTTGTCAAGTCATTTTATAGATGGTGGGACCAAACAGGTTACATAATTCGTCTAAAGTCATAGAGCAGTAAGTGATAGAGCTGGAAATCAGACCCAGATTGTCTGGTCCAATGCCCAGGTGGGTAACTCCCAAGCTCTGTTGCCAACTAGCTATGTGTCTCTTCCTCCCATTGGGGGAAGATGTCAACTCCCAGAAAATAGGGACAGTCATTTATTTCTAATGTATATCTAGAGCCTAACAAAAGAAGTGCTCAATAAATACCTATTGGATGAATGAGTGAATGGATGGATGAACAAATGAATAACAATAGGAATATATGGAGCAAATAATGAAGAATCCTTGATGGTGAGATGGTCTAGTCTGCAGATTAAACCTGTGTGATTCAAGTCTATTTGATCACCATTCATCTTCTTCTCACTTCTCATTGGCTTACAGACCATATTTTAACCATCAATAATAATAATACCTACCACTTAACTGAGCACCTACTATGTGCTAGAGATTCTACCTGTGTTCTCTCCTCGATCCTCATAACACCCCTTTGCAATAGGTTCCATCTATTATCCTAGAACTCAGAGAGGTTAAATGACGTGTCCATGTCACACAGTAAATGGAAGAACTAGAATTCAAATCCAAGTCTGTCTCACTCCAAAGTGTATGCCTTTTTGCTGTCAGTGCTGGCTAACTGTGTCTATCAGATATCAGCAAATACCCCTACATTTCTATGTTATTATCAACTGAATGCATTTTTAGAATTTTCAATGATATCTCCAAAAGTTATGCTTCTTTTTATTTCTCGTTTATTTTTTTCAGATTACTGGATTAAAATTCTAGTTATAATTTTTCAAAGATGCAGATAAAGCAAAGGTAATCCCTCAACCTCTCCTCCTCCCAACACTCACGCAATCCCACACCCCTCTCCAGGGCAAACTACTGTTACCAGCTTTGTATGAATCCTTTCGGACATTTTTTTATGCATCTATGAACATGCAGAAACATGTACCTCTGTTTTATCTTCCTCACATAGATATGATCATATTGTACATTTATTCTGAACTTGCCTTTTTCCTTAATACTATAGTCAATACCTATGGCTTTACTTCATTCTTTTCAACTCCCACATAGTTTTCCATTTTGGTAAATGGTTAGGTTAATTAAAGTTTTTCATTACTTACAAGCAATGCTGCAAGGAGCATGCATACCTATCTAGGCACTTATATGAGTGATTTTTCAGGAGACTTACCTACCCCCTTAGAATTACTAGATCAAAAGTCATGAACACTTTTTCATTTAATAGATATTGAGAAATTACTCTCAAAAAGTATCACACCAATGATATACCAACAGTGTATGAACACATTTGTTTCTGTACATCTGTGCCAACACTGGTTTTTATCAATCTTCTTTATATCTGCTGATCTGATGGACAAAAGATTATAGTATATTAATGTCATTTTATTTTTTATTTTTTTAAATAAATTTATTTATTTTGGCAGCATTGGGTCTTTGTTGTTGCATGCGGGTTTTCTCTGGTTGCAGCTTGCAGGCTTCTCGTTGCAGTGGCTTCTCTTGTTGCAGAGCACAGGCTCTAGGCACGCAGGCTTCAGTAGTTGTGGCACACGGGCTCAGTAGTTGTGGCTCACTGGCTTAGTTGCTCCATGGCATGTGGGATCTTCCCGGACCAGGGCTTGAACCCATGTCTCCTGCATTGGCAGTCAGATTCTTAACCACTGCACCACCAGGGAAGCCCCTGGCAGGTGGATTCTTAACCATTGCACCACCAGGGAAGTCCCTAATGTCATTTTAATAAGCATTTCCCTGAATATCAGTGAGGTTAGGAATCTTTTCATATTTTTATTAGCTGTTTGTATTTCATCTACAATAAATTTTATATATCTTTTGCCCATTTGTCATTGGCTGTTTGTCTTTTATTATTGATTTGCAGGTGCTCTTAAGTGTTCTGGATAGTAATTTTTTGTATGTTATATATGGTGTATTTTCTTCCAGTTTGTTATTTATTTGTCTTTTAATTTTAATAACACTAATCGTGTTATTTACTTACAGAAGTTTTACATTTTAATGGTCAACCTATATATCTTTTCAGAGCTTCTGGATTTTTTATCTTGTCCAAGAAGGCCTTTCTCACCTCCAAATTCATAAATGTATTCTCAATAGTTTTCCAATATTTCTCTAATATTTTTATGGTTTTGGTTTTTCTTTTTTTTCTAGTCTTTATTGAATTTGTTACAATATTGTTTCTGTTTTATGTTTTGGTTTTTTGGCTGCAAGGCACATGGGATCTTAGCTCCCCAACCAGGGATCAAACCCGCACCTCCTGCATTGGAAGGTGAAGTCTTAAGCACTGGACCACCAGGGAAGTCCCTAGTTTCGGTTTTTCATGTTTAGTTTTTTAATCTACTAGGAATAACTTTTTATATCATAAGAGGTAGGGGATCTGACTTAATTTTTTCAGATAAATAGGCAACTGTACCCAAATCATTATTTCCCTACCTTTATTGTTGATAAATTTCTATAAATATATTAACCAGACTTATTTTTGTTGCAAGAGGGTAAGAAAACTTCAAATAGGTTTTATAAAAGACAGGGAATTTGATTGCTTATATAACTGAAATGTCCAGAGCAGCGACTGGTTTTGGAAGAAGTTTCAAATAAAACTAACTAGAGCAATAGAGGATGAGGCTACTTTGGAGGAGACCTGAGTGGGAAGATGGAGGCAGCCATAGGAAGACGAGGAGAGGAAGAATATTCTTGCAAAAAGAGGAGAAAAGTATAAAAGTCTTAAGAGTGTAACAAACTTGTAACATTCAGGAGACAAAAGAAGGCCATGATGAGTGGAGCAAGGTGAATGAAGGCCCGAGTGGTGGGAAACACCTGGAGAGGTAGGCAAGGGTCAAATCCTGTAAGACACTGAAGCCACAACAAGGATTGAATTCTATTCTATTTTATTCCTTCTACTGTGGGAATCCACTGGAGAGTTTTAAAGAGAAGAGCTACAGGATTTGATTTACACTCTTAAAAGAGCTCTTCCTGGGGACTTCCCTGGTGGTCCAGTGGATAAGACTCTGCGCTCCCAGTGCAGGGGGCCCGGGTTTAATATCTGGTCAGGGAACTAGATCCCACATGCCACAACTAAGAGTCTGCATGCCACAACTAAGAAGTCCACATGCTGCAACTAAGAAGTCCACATGCCGGGCTTCCCAGGTGGCGCAGTGGTTGAGAGTCTGCCTGCCGATGCAGGGGACACGGGTTCGTGCCCCGGTCTGGGAAGATCCCACATGCCGCGGAGCGGCTGGGCCCGTGAGCCATGGCCGCTGTGCCTGCGCGTTCGGAGCCTGTGCTCCGCAACGGGAGAGGCCACAACAGTGAGAAGCCCGCATACCGGAAAAAAAAAAAAAAAAAAAGAAGTCCACATGCCAAAACTAAAAAATCCCACGTGCCACAACAAAGATCCCGCATACCACAACTAAGACCCGGCACAGCCAAATTTAATTAATTAATTAATTAATTTAAATGGAAAAGTTAAAAAAAAAAAAAGAGATCATCCTGCTCACAATTTGGGAAAATGGATTATGGGGGAGGGGAGAGATAAAGATGGAAGTGGGGAGGACTGCTAGGAAGTGCTGCCATAGTCAGAGAGATAAATGATGGTGGCTTGGTCGGGGTTATATCAGAGAAGATACAGAAAAATGGTCAGATGTTGGGTATTGAGATATATTTATTTATTGAAGTGAGGATTTACTGAGGGGGAAAATATAGAGTTCTGTTTTTCCCATGGTACATGTAAGATGCCTATTGGTTATCTGAGTGGAAGTGTGAAGTAGACAGTTGGAAAAAAAAAAAGTAGATAGTTGGATATGCAAATTTGGAGCTCAGGCATGAGCATATGGTTTAGGAGTCACCAGTTTACATGATATTTATAGTCAATAGCTAGAATATATAAAGAGCTCTGTAAAAATCTAGAAAAACAAGCCCAAATGGGCAAAGGACGTGGCAGTTCATTAAAAAAGACATAGAGGGCTTCCCTGGTGGCGCAGTGGTTGAGAGTCTGCCTGCCGATGCAGGGGACGCGGGTTCGTGCCCCGGTCCGGTAAGATCCCACATGCCGCGGAGCGGCTGGGCGCGTGAGCCATGGCCGCTGAGCCTGCGCGTCCGGAGCCTGTGCTCCGCGACGGGAGAGGCCACGGCAGTGAGAGGCCCGCGTACCGCAAAAACAAACAAACAAATAAAAAAGACATAGAAAGTTCTTTAAACATATCAAAAGATGTTCAACTTCACTCAAAGTAGAATTCAAAATGAAACTATAGAGATACTGTTTATCACTCATTGATTGACAAAACTTCAAGAGGTTGACAACCTACCCTTTTAGTGAGGCTGTGAGGAAAATAGGCACTGTCTTACACTGCTGTTGGAAGAACAAAATGGAACAAATGCTATGGAAGGAAAATTTGGCAATATTTAACAAAACTGTATATTCATAGGCATTTACCTCTTGACTCAGTAATCCCTTTTAAAGGAATTTACCCAGGGGATACATCTGCAAAAAATAAAACAACAAATGCACAAGGTTATTAATTGTGGCATTATTTTTAATATCAAAACATTAAAAACAACCCAAATGCCACCTACATAAGAAACCTGTTGAATTAAAGATAGTACAGCTACACAATTGAGTACTACATAGCCATAAAAGAGAATGAAGAGTTCTAAGTACTAGTATGAAGAGAATGCCAAGATATAGTGTTAAGTGAAAAAAAAGCAGAGTTCAAAAGTATAGTATGGTATATTTTGTTAAGAAAAAAGTGGGAAAATAAGCCTATATTGTCTATATTTCCTAATTTTTATTACAGTGTTATTGAGAAATAATCCATATAATGTAAAATTCACCCTTTTAAAGTACACGTTTCCTGGTTTTTAGTATATTCATGAAGATATGCAATCATCACCACAACCAACTTTAGAACATTTTCATTAACACCAAAAGAAACCCTTTGCTCATTACAGTCACTGCCTATCCCCCTTTTCCCACAGCTCCTGGCAAACATTTATCTATTTTCCATGAATATGGATTTATAGGCATTTCATATAAATGGAATTGTACAGCATGTTATCTTTTGGTTCTGGCTTTGTTCACTAAGCATAACATTTCCAAGATTCATCCATCTTGTAACATGTATCCATATTTGGTTTCCTTTTGTGGCCAAATAATATTCCACTGTATGCATACACCACATTTTGTTTATCCATTTATCAGTTGAGGGACATGTGGGTGATTTCCATACAACACTGCTGCAATATACATGTACAAATTGTGTGGACACATGTTTTCATTTCACTTGTGTAACTGAATTGCTGGCTCATATGGCCACTCTATCTCTAGAATTTTGAGGAACTGTCAAGCTGTCTTCCAAAGTGGCCACACCATTTTATAGTTCTACCAGCACTGTATGAGGGTTCCAAATTCCCTACATCTTTGCCAACACTTGTTGATTGTCTACATTTTTTATTTTAGCTATCCTAGTGAGTGCGAAGTGGTACCTCATAGAGGTTTGGAATTGCATTTCCCTGACAGCTAATAACGTTGAATATCTTTTCATGTGCTTATTGCTATTCTTTATTTCTTTGTGTGGATCTGAGTCTTTCATTTCAGCCTGAAAGGCTCCCTTTAGTATTGTTTTTAGGGCAAGTCTGCTAGCAATGAATTCTATTAGTTTTTGTTTATATGGGAAGGTCTTAATTTCTCCTTCATTTTGAAGGATAATTTTGCTGGATATGGAAATGCTTGTTGACAATCTTTTTCCTTCAGCACTTTGAATATGTCATCCCACTGCCTTCTGGTCTCCATGGTTTCTGATGAGAAGTCAGAATGTTAATGTTATGATTTTCTTTTATGTGATGAGTCACTTTCCTCTGGCTGCTTTCAAGATATGCTCGTTGGTTTTTGTTTTCAACAGTTTGATGCAGCTAGGTATGCATCACTTGAGCATATAATACTTGGAATTAGTTGAGTTTCCTGAATGTGCAAATGAATGTTTTTCATCAGATTCGGGAATTTTTCTGCTATTATTTCTTTATTCTTTTTCTCTCTCCTCTCCTTCTGGGAGTCCCATTATTCAAAAGTTAGTATGCTCGACCATGTGTGTCCCACAGGTCTCTTAGGCTCTGTTCATTTTTCTTCATTCTTTTGTCTTTCTGTTTCTCAGACTGGATGATATCAAATGACCTGTTTTCAAGTTTGCTGGTTCTTTCTTCCAGCTCAGATCTTCTGTTTAGCACCCTCTAGTGAATTTTTCATTTCAGTTATTATACTTTTCAACTCCTGAATTTCTACTTCGTCCCCTTTTATAATTTCCATTTCTTTACTGATATTCTCTATTTGGTGCAGCATTGTTCTCATACTTTAATTTAGTTTTTTAGATATGGTTTCCTTTAGTTCTTTGAACACATTTATAATAGCTGATTTAAAATCTTTATCTAGGGCTTCCCTGGTGGCACAGTGGTTGAGAGTCCGCCTGCCGATGCAGGGGACACGGGTTCATGCCCTGGTCTGGGAAGATCCCACATGCCACATAGCGGCTGGGCCCGTGAGCCATGGCCGCTGTGCCTGCGCGTCCGGAGCCTGTGCTCCGCAACGGGAGAGGCCACAACAGTGAGAGGCCCGCGTACCGCAAAAAAATAAATTAAAAATAAAATAAAATAAAATCTTTATCTAGTAAGTCCAATGTCTGGACTTTCACAGGGACAGGTCTTATTGACTGCTTTTTTTCCCTATGTATGGGCCATTCTTTTATGTCCAGAAATGAATGATGCCTCATTATGAATCATAATTTTTTTCTTGAAAACTGAACATATTAAATAATATAATGTGGCAACTCTGGAAATCAGATTCCCAACTCCCCAGAATTTATTGTTGTTCCAGTTTGTCGTTAATGCTGTTGCTATTTGTTGTTTAACGACTCTCCTGGAATAATTCTGTAAAGTCTGTATTTCTGGTCTATGCAGCCACTGAAGTCTCTACTCAATTAGTTTAACAATCAGCTAATAATTGGACAGAGATTCCCAGCCTTTGCCAAGGGGCTCTGTATGTGCGTTTGGTCATGACATCAATGCTTCAGCAGGTAGTTTACAACTCTGCCTTATCCTTCACTTCCTGCTTGTGCAGAGCCTCAAGATTGGCCAGAAGTGATAGGTTGCGGCCTCTCAAGTCTTTCTTGGACATGTGCACAGCCCTGCACATGCAGGTGTCCTTCTAGAGTTCCAAGAAAAAGTCAGATATTATCAAAGCCCTCTATGGACATCTCATTCCCCAGCTTTTCCTTTCAAGTTCTTTGGTCAGCCCCTTGTTAGCCCCAACTGGTATTACCACCTCTGGCAGCTGTGATGTTAAACAATTACTGCTGATTTTTTTTTTTCAACAAATCCCCTGGAGATAGGGCTGTTTGCATGGAGTGAGCTCTGAGTCAGTTCAAATGAAAACAAACCCTAAGAGTGGAGATTCTTAGAGAGCTACCAGACAGATCAGATAGAGATAGTTCTCTGACTTGGGGATTTTGCAGGGAGATTCAAACCTACTCTGTCCCCTCCAGGGGCTTCTAGGCTGCTTGTTTTCATAGCTACTAGTTTCATGTCTACTGCAAAGCTAAGGAGAAGGGGAGGAGAATAGAGTAAGTTAAAATTCCAGAAAGCTTTCTGTTCTTACCTAGTTTTAGCTGTTTTTCTTGAATAAATCCTTCTCTAATTTTAGCAAGCCTTTGGTTAATTTCCAGAGTTCTGAAAAAGTTGATTTTCACCTTTTTGCCTGTGTTTTTGTTGCTCTAATGGAGGACCAAATTTTCAGAGGCCTTTATTACGCCTTTCTGGAAGTGCTTCTATCTGTATTAATTTTTTCACAAAAGGAAGGGATAAACCACAGGCTAATAAAAATCATTATTGGGGAGTAATCTGCAAACAATTTTGGATATATTATAGGGTAGAACAAATGCCCAAGTATGTATTGCTTTCATTGAGAACTAGGATTCTCACTGTGCGAGAAGGAAGATACAAATATAGAAGGACAGAGATCTAGTGGTATTTGTTGAATTTGAATTGGTGGTGTTAGGATTTTTTTCAAATGCATATGTTTTTCAAGAGTTCATGATTTTTGCTCTGTCAACTGAAAGGGCTTAGAAGCAATGATACTCTAGTAGCAATGAACATATCTGACACCCAGTTCTTGGTTCTAAACCCTATGCCCCATTAAAAAAATTTTTTTAAAAAAGGAATATTTGGAGAAACAGATGATTCCAGGGCAGGGGCTGGGAAAGTAGAAGGTGAGCCTGGGACGTATTTTGTGCCAGAAAGCAAAGAAGACTAAGAAGGCTAAGAAAAAGTGTGGGGGAGGAAAGAAATAAGTGAGAGAGACTAAGAGGTTCAAACTTCCAGTTGCAAAGTAAATGAGTCATGGGTATGAGACGTACAGTGTGGAGAATGTGGCCAATAACTATGAAAAGCAAAAATTAAAATAATAAAGCATCTTTTTTTAAAAAAAGAAGACTAAAGAAAGCTCAAAGACTAAGGGAAATGTCAAAAGGACATAGGAGACAGCTTAAAGTGACGCCCTTTGGCCAAATTAGTGGCAATTTGCACATCGAAATGCGTTAACGATGATAATTGTTTATTAATATGTTAAATTAAAATTTCCATTAGTCCATAGTAATAGTAAAATGAAAAAGAAAAATAGAAATGAAAAGCTCTTCTTTACAGAAGGATCCCAGCTAAAAATCATAGAAGGAATGATAGAATAAAAGAAAACAACCATTCTGAAATCCCCCGTGTAATAGTTGGTTCCGGCAAGGATTATCAATGGATGCTAAATTATTGGGTAAAATATTTGGAGGCAATAGAATATTCACAAGATCTCCAAGTATCACCCCAAACTACAAACTATCCCTTTGTAGTTTTTACTAACTACAAAGCAGGAAAGGTAGCTTTTCAGTGGAGAGATTCAGCAGTCTCCCCTCTAACCAAATGATCAGACTTAGGGACCACCAAGAGGGACAATTTGACAAGAAGTGCCTCCTGATGAGATTTACTAAAAAGCCACAATATCATCTGTGTAGGTTTCTCACCAAAAAAGTGTCAAACCTGAACCTAACCATAAGTAAACAATCAGATAAATCTGGACCAGGGTTTCTCAACCTTGGCACTACTGACATTTTAGGATGCTAATTCTTTCTTGTGGGAACTACTCTGTGCATTGTAGGATGTTTAGAAGCATCCCTGTCCCCTACCCACTACATTCCAGTAGCACCTTGCTATAGATTGAATGTTTGTGCCCCCCACCACAAAGTTCATACGTTGATATCCTAATACCCAAAGTCATAGCATTAGGAGGTGGGACCTTTGGGAGGTGATTAGGTTGTGAAGGTAGAGGCTTCATGAATGGAATTAGTATCCTTATAAAAGAGGTCCAACCCGGGTGCAATCCCTGGTCAGGGAACTAAAATCCCACAAGCCACATGGATTTAAAAAAAAAAAAAAAAAAGAAGAAGAAGCCCA